ATTGTGGTCAAATTAGAACTACAACGCTAGAGGAGAGAGCAAACTACTATAACCACTTTATTCTTACAGCTTCTTCTCTTTCCTATAGTTAAAAGCTTATATTTTTAAGCATTGAAACATTTTAAACATGAATATTTCAGACTGCAACACAATGAGATTAATTTATCGGTTATTGATCGTGAGTGTTGACTGTTGTAAAATTGCATGTTAAATAGCCAAATAATTACACACTGTTTGGTATCTCTAGGATGGAAGATCAGTGATAGCAGAGAGGTTCTTTTCAGCGGTCTTTGCAACAATAGTTGCAATACAGGCTGTTATCTGCCTATATCACAGCTTATACGCTGTGAAGCGCCACGATTGAAGGTATAATAAATTATCAGAAGACTGAAGTGCAGCACTCATAAATTATTCCTACTCCCTGTGACCAGAAGTGACTGAGACAGGGAATTACTTAGTGCCCCGTGAATTTCAACTTTACCTTTGATATTCAACTTCTGATTACGTAATCCTTAGTAAGCTGAATATCACACTAGTACTAACTACAGTGCAACCAATAACACAGTGATATGAGCAAAAAGAACTTAGTTTCTAAGTAAGAACTTAAATTTGAATCTTCATAAAGTTTGAGCTTTATAAACGAGAAACAAGCATCAAAGAACTTCCCATAAAATTTAACTTGATTCGACTCTAAATTAGTTAGGATTTAATATAACTTCCAAATACTTGGGGTTAGTATCAAAAACTAACTACAGTGCAAAATAAAGGACTGTAGAGAAGATTTTATTTAAAAAATTAATGATATTTCATACAAGTTTTCTAACAAGAAGTAAAAGATTTGGCGATATCATCAAATACGACAACTGAAGGCAAAACACAGCCTCTTGCTCTCACCATTTTGGTGAGTCCAATTATCCTGACTAGTATGGGAAAGCAAGAAGCAACATAATCTCACTAAGAAAAAATAATAAAGAATCAAATTAAAAGCCAACACGAACCATTGGATGCATGATCATATTTATGCCACAGCAGGTAAGTCCTTGAGCCATGGATCGAGTGGCTTGCCAATTGAGTAAACAATGAAACCAATCTCCCTCAGCTTATCCACATTCGCAATGTTCCTTCCGTCAAAAACAAAAGCTGGTTTCTGCATGTTGTCATATATCCTTTGGTAATCCAGGGTCTTGAACTCATCCCACTCCGTCAGAATACAGATTCCATGGGCATCTTTTGTTGCTTCATAGGCATCCCAAACCACACTCACTTGCTTAACGGTGGTGGGGCTCATGGGCTGAAGATGTAGAGGATGGTCCCAGTCAAACTTGTTCATCGTAAGGTCCCTCTGGATCTGGTCCTCAGTGACCT